GTTCAGTATATATATATATATATATATATATATATATATATATATATATATATATATATATATACACACAGTGAGGGAAAAAAGTATTTGATCCCCTGCTGATTTTGTACTGACAAAGAAATGATCAGTCTATAATTTTAATGGTAGGTTTATTTGAACAGTGAGAGACAGAATAACAACAAAAAAATCCAGAAAAACACATGTCAAAAATGTTATAAATTGATTTGCATTTTAATGAGGGAAATAAGTATTTGACCCCCTCTCAATCAGAAAGATTTCTGGCTCCCAGGTGTCTTTTATACAGGTAACGAGCTGAGATTAGGAGCGCACTCTTAAAGGGAGTGCTCCTAATCTCAGCTTGTTACCTGTATAAAAGACACCTGTACACAGAAGCGATCAATCAATCAGATTCCAAACTCTCCACCATGGCCAAGACCAAATAGCTCTCAGAGGATGTCAGGGACAAGATTGTAGACCTACACAAGGCTGGAATGGGCTACAAGATCATCGCCAAGCAGCTTGGTGAGAAGGTGACAACAGTTGATGCGATTATTCGCAAATGGAAGAAACACAAAAGAACTGTCAATCTCCCTCGGCCTAGGGCTCCATGCAAGATCTCACCTCGTCTTTCTAAGGTCCTTTGAAAAAACATAAAAATCAACAAAGACGACAAAATGTTGTTGCTCGTAGGGAGCTTTTCAAGACTGGTGGCGGACCCCCAGCAAGACTAGAGACAAATGACCGGGTCATTGATAGCCAGCAACCCCTGGAACCCCTGATGATGACCATTTGGACAGTTCAGATGGAAGACACATTCATTCAACATGTGCCATCCCTGGACTGCAGGGAATGTGTAATGTTGTCAGTCATCTCTTGCACGCCCATAGTACAAATTATGTAATGAACTCAACTCTTGAATAAATTATGTTCTCTAATGCAGTAATGTAATCATTTTCTAGAGGCAGATGATCACCATAGCTTGGAATAAGGATCAAAGTAAGCCCGCTACATCTGCAGCAGCCAGGATGGAATATTGTGTCACTAACCCCGGGCCGGAGGACAAAGACAAAGAGGCTGAGCTGCATTAGAAACTGGCCATGGAATTTCATGAGCCAAACTAATGTCTTTAAAAGAAGAGCATGATGCACTATATATACAAAAGTATGTGGACACCAATATTCCCTCTAAACTGCGCTCGGGCGTGCAGTAGCCCCACAGCTCCCCCGAGACTACTGCGCAGAATAGGCTGAATATCAGCCAACGGAGAGAAGCACGAGATTGAATTTCACTCAACTTTCTAGAGCAGTGGTCACCAACCGGTTGATCGCAATCGACTGGTCGATCGCCAAGGCATTCCTAGTCGATCTGCAAACATTTCTGTAAAAAACCCAACGATAAAGCCTTGTGTTCCTATTTTTTTTTATTCGTCTCGGGCTGTTGATGGTAGGTGGACCTGATTCAGCTGCCCTGCGCGCTAGGTAGGCGAACTGTTGCCATTTTTAACCATTGGAGGCCACTGTGTTCTTGGGGACCTTCAATGCTGCAGAAATGTGAGACAGGTGTGAAATACACTGCTCAAAAAAATAAAGGGAACACTTAAACAACACAATGTAACTCCAAGTCAATCACACTTCTGTGAAATCAAACTGTCCACTTAGGAAGCAACACTGATTGACAATACATTTCACATGCTGTTGTGCAAATGGAATAGACAACAGATGGAAATTATAGGCAATTAGCAAGACACCCCCAATAAAGGACTGGTTTTGCAGGTGGTGACCACAGACCACTTCTCAGTTCCTATGCTTCCTGGCTGATGTTTTGGTCACTTTTGAATGCTGGCGGTGCCTTCACTCTAGTGGTAGCATGAGACGGAGTCTACAACCCACACAAGTGGCTCAGGTAGTGCAGCTCATCCAGGATGGCACATCAATGCGAGCTGTGGCAAGAAGGTTTGCTGTGTCTGTCAGCGTAGTGTCCAGAGCATGGAGGCACTACCAGGAGACAGGCCAGTACATCAGGAGACGTGCAGGAGGCCATAGGAGGGCAACAACCCAGCAGCAGGACTGCTACCTCCGCCTTTGTGCAAGGAGGAGCAGGAGGAGCACTGCCAGAGCCCTGCAAAATGATCTCCAGCAGGCCACAAATGTGCATGTGTCTGCTCAAACGGTCAGAAACAGACCCAACACCGTGCAGGACGTTTGGCATTTGCCAGAGAACACCAAGATTGGCAAATTCGCCACTGGCGCCCTGTGCTCTTCACAGATGAAAGCAGGTTTACACTGAGCACGTGACAGACGTGACAGAGTCTGGAGACGCCGTGGAGAACGTTCTGCTGCCTGCAACATCCTCTAGCATGACCGGTTTGGCGGTGGGTCAGTCATGGTGTGGGGTGGCATTTCTTTGGGGGGCCGCACAGCCCTCCATGTGCTCGCCAGAGGTAGCCTGACTGCCATTAGGTACCAAGATGAGATCCTCAGACCCCTTGTGAGACCATATGCTGGTGCGGTTGGCCCTGGGTTCCTCCTAATGCAAGACAATGCTAGACCTCATGTGGCTGGAGTGTGTCAGCAGTTCCTGCAAGAGGAAGGCATTGATGCTATGGACTGGCCCGCCCGTTCCCCAGACCTGAATCCAATTGAGCACATCTGGGACATCATGTCTCGCTCCATCCACCAACGCCACAGACTGTCCAGGAGTTGGCGGATGCTTTAGTCCAGGTCTGGGAGGAGATCCCTCAGGAGACCATCTGCCACCTCATCAGGAGCATGCCCAGGCGTTGTAGGGAGGTCATACAGGCACGTGGAGGCCACACACACTACTGAGCCTCATTTTGACTTCTTTTAAGGACATTACATCAAAGTTGGATCAGCCTGTAGTGTGGTTTTCCACTTTAATTTTGAGGGTGACTCCAAATCCAGACCTCCATGGGTTGATAAATTTGATTTCCATTGATAATTTTTGTGTGATTTTGTTGGCAGCACATTCAACTATGTAAAGAAAAAAGTATTTAATAAGATTATTTCATTCATTCAGATCTAGGATGTGTTATTTTAGTGTTCCCTTTATTTTCTTGAGCAGTGTATATAGACAGGTGTGTGCCTTTCCAAATCATGTCCAATCAATAGAATTTACCACAGGTGGACTCAAATCAAGTTGTAGAAACATCAAGGATGATCAATGGAAACAGGATGCACCTGAGATCAATTGAGTCTCATAGCAAAGGGTCTGAATACTTATATAAATAAGGTATGTTTTTTATTTGTAACACTTTGTTTAAATTTCTAAAAACCTGTTTTTGCTTTGTCATGATGAGGTATTGTGTGTAGCTTGATGAGGGAAAACAATAATTTCATACATTTTAAAATAAGGCTGTAATGTAACAAAATGTGGAAAAGTTAAGGGGTCTGAATACTTTCCGAATGCACTGTATATGAAATTAACATGTTTTCATGAATTTGATTATATAATCTTGAAGTTCAGTCAAAAACAGTATGGGACTGAATATGGAAGTAAGGCAGCAAATGACATCACTTTCCCATCATATCTAGCAAACTATTGATCAGGTACTCTGGCCAAATTACAGGGTTCCATAGCAATTTTCAGTTTCATTTAAAAGCTTGATTTATTATGCAACCCATTGAGCGTGTTGGTGAGAAATAAGCAAACATTTATCAAAATTAACCAAATTAAATTAAATACACATCCCAGCAAATCATTTCTTAAGGACCATTTAAAAATGGTCTAAAATGTAGTAGTAAGTGGGGATTGAGACATTATCAATGTGATAAAAATCTTAAAATCACCCAAATCCTTGCTATGCATATCAGTAGACTGTGACGCACCACCATGTGTTTGGGGAACAGACCAAGGAAAAAGAAAAGGAAAATAGGACCATTCCATCACCCAAAATCTTTAGTGCGCATCATGGTATTCTTACACTGAACAAACATAACTGGTCAAGTCTCCAGATCTGAAACCATACCAAAAATGTTTTCAACAAAAAGGACATCAAAATCTAAAAAATTTACACACACATTTGTACATATGCAAAATGTAGTCCAGTCTCCTTTTCACCTCATTTAACACCCGGTTTACTTAACAAAAGGCACATCTCAATAGGTGGTCCAAGTAAGTCATGACATAGCACAAGTGTGTGTGTGTGTGTGTGTGTGGGGGGGGGGGGGGGGGGGGGAAATGTCCTATTTTGTTCTCAATTGCTCCTCAAGCAATGGGGGAGGCCGATGATGAAGTCACGACTTCCCATCAGACCAATTCCTTCAATGCCCTACTCCTTGAAGTTTGCAGTTGACTAAAGAATATATACTGTTTTTTGCACAAAAAAATGGTTTTACCCTTGAGTGTGTGTACTTTAGTGTATTTACACTTGGGATATCACTAACAGTAAAAGGAAAAAACTGGAGGACATCTTTAAGGCAATTGATGTAAATGATCAAATATAATTAAAAAGTACAGTACTTCAGACATTTACACTTTACTGAAAAGTTACAATAAATCCACATGAACATATTAAGGCAGTAAGATTTCCATGACTGTGTACTCAGAAGACAGGTGAGGTGATCTGCAAAAAAGATTTATAGTTAATCATCACTTCTGAAATACAACAAGACTATTCCAATACAACCACAAGAGGGTTCCATGCAGTTACTAGTAGTGTCATGATTGTCAGGATGGGTTTGTAACAAACTACAAGTATTTAGAGAGTAACAGCTGGACGGTCTGTCACTAAAAGATTAAGAGTAAACATTAATTACAGTAAACTACAGCTGCATCCCAATGAACAATGTGGAGTCTTTCTCAAAACACAAAAAGTTACAAAAACTGATTGTATAAATAACAAATACAACTATAAAATCTCAAGAAACGGATTTCCTGTGTTCGTCAAAAAGAATATGACTGTGTTTAGGAATGTGAATTTGAGAGTCAATTTGGTGGGGATAAGTGTCTGTACTGCTAGATCCAGCACCCAGGGAGTAGTTTCATTTGTCCAGCAGAGCAGCTCGTTCATCGTGCTGCGATTCCAACTCTAGAGGGGCGTTATTGCGGTATATCAAGAACTGTATGGAGATCTGATGCAGTGAGTCAAGGGAATTCATGAAGTTTACAAAATATAGGATAATGTACAGGTAATACTTACATCATACCAGTCACAAACCAACCTGAACCAGTTGCCTTTAGGCAAGTTCATTAGGGTCATTGTAATACAAGGACAGAGTCAAAAGCAGAAGCTAAGTGATAAGTCAAAGCTAAATGTTACAAGTACACGTGTGATTGAAGAGGCCAGAGGCCCAGCAGGCATTGTAATGAGAAGGATACCAGGAGGTCTAGAGAGAGGGTGCCCAGGCTGCCTACAAGCCAAGGCAGGTGGTGGATGATGTAGCTTCCCTCTCCCTGGCCCTGCTCAGGGTTCTTCAGCAGCACACTCAGGCCGTATGTGGTGTTACCCAGGATGACCAGGGCAAACAGGAAGTAGGACACACCCTCCGTCGACTTTCTCGTATACTACAGAGAAAGAGATTGAAAAAACTATGAGCGAAAGAAAAGATCCATGCAGGACTTTCAGGTAGGAAGTCTACCCAGTACTCGTTCACTCAACAACCCTTCCCCACTCCCCTTTTTCAGACTCACATTAATGTGCATCTGTGGCAGTCTGGAGCAGAGGTAGAGCACTGAGGATATGGACCCAATGATAAACCCAATGATCTCCTTGGTGCTGAAAGCCTGGACACACACACACAAAGAGTTTGCATGTGACGCATAACAGTTGGCCAGGGGCCAGTGTCAAATCAACACATAAATTACATTAACATCCACTGATTGCTTTTCACCTTAACACCATCCACAGTGGTTGACAGCAAGGCCCGCCCCTTAAACCCAGAGAGGACCACATCCTGTTGGGACCCTGACGCAGGTAAGGCCACAAGGCCTGCAGAGAAGCCCAGGACGTAGACCACACCGACCACATTTAAGACTGACCTGGCTGGGTTGAGGAAGGAAAAAAAGGGCTTAGTCTTCAATTTTGGAAGACGCTGCCTCAGCAAACTCCTGCAACCATGAGTCGCTGTGTCGTCGGCTACCACAACAATAAGGAAACGAAATAACAGAATGTTGTGGTGATGCACGGTATTGCTGACATCAGTAGTGGGTCATTTTTGACAATGAGTGGAAAAAATAAAATGTTAATGTAGAATAATTTGGACCTGGTAGTGTACTAAAATAGCAAAGTTTGGGGACTTTTCCCATCACAAGGACTAGTATTGAGCAATGTTTCTCAACACTAGCCTAATCCTGGGGAGCCTCTATGTATAGACCACAACAGTCCAATCTGAAGCTATTCCCATGCTGAAATACACACCTGTTAGGTTCACTGAACTGTTACATAACAACTGTAAGCCTATAGTCAATAAAACAACCTTGCAATGTTTTTTGGCATAATTACACATTTTTACAAAGGCTTCTTGGAAAGAACATTTACTGATTCGGCAGAACATGGACCAGCCATACCCTGTCATGTCATGCGTTTGTGCGTTATACTGCAGTGTTTCCCAACTCCAGTCCTTAAGTACCCCCAACAGTACACATTTGTTGTAGCTCCGGACAAGCACACCTGATTCCACTTGTCAACTAATCAAGTCCTCAATGAGTTGAATCAGGCGAGTTTGTCCGGGGCTACAACAATGTGTACTGTTTGGAGTTGTCGAGGACTGGAGTTTGGAAATACTGTTATACACACAAAGGCCCATCGATTAATAGTCAATGGGTGGAATGTACACTGACCAGTGGCCTTGATTTAGTATTGACAACAAATCTCACAGCAGTTAATTTGAAAAAGAGATCAAATATATTTATGGACAAAAACAAACTCACTGTTATTCATCCTGTTCTTAGCCACATAGTAAAAGTACATTCCCAGCATCAATAAGTCAGCCAGGACGTAATACACTGCTGTGTACGTCTGTATGAGAGAAGGGGGAGAGACATGTCAGTGGAGTGGACAAGGTGAATACTTATATGCATATCATTACACTTTTTTTGTAACATTAAAAAATGTCATTATCTTTACATTAGTATCTTGATGGAGTTGACAATTTCAGTTTATCCCTATCCTCATTTTAGACAGACACCAAAAACCATTTCAGCAATATTGACTGACCCAGATAGCTGTCACTTACCTGTAGCGGCAGTTGGTCAGCTAAGAATGAGCCTACAAGATTGCAGGAGTCGCCCCCCAGCCACAGCAGCAGAAACCAAATGGACAAGGCACTGTCCATATTCCCACTCTTACAAGAGCTGTAGTATTGCCTGCATTCATGAACACAACAGAATGGGAATAGTAAAGGTGTTGTCCATAAATCAGAAATGGGCTGAAATAATGTCAACCCAATCAAGACTTACGGTAGGGAAGAGACCATGAAGCACACTATTGACAACAGACCCAGGATGACACTGGCCATGTCCCTGGCGTCCTGGGCACATTCCCCCAGCCCTTCCCAAACCCATATTGATCCATTCGGGCACACAGAGCTGAAGTTTCCATCAGTGTTCAATCCAATGGACACCAGCGTGAGGACACCATCAGCCGACCCCAAATTCCGGCTCATTCTAATCACAGAGGAAAGGGTTAAACGCACAAGCTACACAAAATAGCTAAATAAGCAACAAACTACAGGTAGATATGTGCTTATTATTTCTGTAGGCAAAACATGTTTATACCTCAGTCTCAAATGTTATTATCTGCTACGGAATTCAGACTCGAGTGAACTCGGTTTGTACTTACCGTTTCCAGCTGGACACAAAAACAAGTTGCTAGCTAACGTTTCTTTGCTTGATAGCCGGCTGCCTTTTCAAGGTTGGCGCTGTTTCAAACGTCTAGGACAAGGTGCTGGTCGAACATTCAAAATGCTGATCTTACCTGATTCTCGGTCGGTTATTGAAGTGTGTCCATGAGTCGACGTCTGTTAGCCGACTGGCTTGCAAAGATAAAGGAGAACAACATAGCTAGCTAGTAGCTTCTAAAAACAATTTTGTTCGGAGTGACCTAGCTAGCTATGATTGGAAGATGATATCTAACGTCAGGGAAAAGGCGGAGCTAGACGGCAGATTGAGGGAGTTCTATTAACATGAGCCGCGGTGCACCTTGAAGGGCAAAAGCCGTCAGGGAGGAGCGCCATTTATCTACTTCCGCAGAGCCAGCGTTAGCGCAATGACTGGAAGTCTACTTTAACGTTAGTTAGCAATTGTGCTAACGCTAGTTAGCAACTTCCGCACGCAGACATAAAAATGGTATCCATGAGTTCATCTGACTCTGGGGAAGAAAATAAATGACCGTATTGCCAAAATCCATAAGTGGCTGGCTCATGCACGGAAGGTAGCTCGGATCCAAAACTAATACAATCACTTTTCACCGGGAGCAAACTCCTTCCACCGAGGCATAATTGAATCCCCCCAATTATGTCTGTAAATATATATATATTTTTTTTACATTTTAGTCATTTAGCAGACGCTCTTATCCAGAGCGACTTTACAGTTAGTGAGTGCATAAATTTTTTTTCTTTTTCATACTGCCCCCCCCCCGTGGGAATCGAACCCGCAACCTTGGCGTTGCAAGCGCCATGCTCTACCAACTGAGCTACACGGGGCCTAATTAAATGTAACCTTTATTTAACCAGGTAAGCCAGTTGAGAACAAGTTCTCATTTACAACTGCGACCTGTCCAAGATAAAGCAAAGCAGTGCGATAAAAACAACAACAACACAGAGTTACAAATGGAATAAACAAAACGTACAGTCAATAACACAATAGAAAATCTATTTACAGTGTGTGCAAATGTAGTAAGTTATGGAGGTAAGGCAATAAATAGGCCATAGTGCAAAATAATTACAATGTAGTATTAACACTGGAGTGATAGATGTGCAGAAGATGATGTGCAAATAGAGATACTGGGGTGCAAATGAGCAAAATAAATAACAATGTAAATAACAATATGGGGATGAGGTAGTTGGGTGGGCTAATTACAGATGGGCTGTCTACAGGTGCAGTGATCGGTAAGCTGCTCTGACAACTGATGCTTAAAGTTAGTGAGGGAGATAAGTGTCTCCAGCTTCAGAGATTTTTGCAGTTCGTTCCAGTCATTTGCAGCAGAGAACTGGAAGGAATGGCGGCCAAAGGAGGTGTTGGCTTTGGGGATGACCAGTGAGATATAACTGCTGGAACGCATACTACGGGTGGGTGTTGCTATGGTGACCAATGATCTAAAATAAGGCGGGGTTTTGCCTAGAACTGATTTATAGAGACCTGGAGCCAGAGGGTTTGGCGACGAATATGTAGTGAGGGCCAGCCAATGAGAGCGCACAGGTCACAATTGTGGGTAGTATATGGGGCTTTGGTGACAAAACGGATGGAACTGTGATAGACTACATCCAATTTGCTGAGTAGAGTGTTGGAAGCTATTTTGTAAATGACATCGCCGAAGTCAAGGATCGGTAGGATAGTCAGTTTTACGAGGGCATGTTTAGCAGCACGAGTGAAGGAGGCTTTGTTGCGAAATAGGAAGCCGATTCTAGATTTAATTTTGGATTGGAGATGCTTAATGTGAGTCTGGAAGGAGAGTTTACGGTCTAACCAGACACCTAGGTATTTGTAGTTGTCCATATATTCGAAGTCAGACCCGCCGAGAGTAGTGATTCTAGTCGGGCGGGCGGGTGCAAGCAGCGTTCGATTGAAGAGCATGCATTTAGTTTTACTAGCGTTTAAGAGCAGCTGGAGGCCACGGAAGGAGTGTTATATGGCATTGAAGCTCGTTAAAAAACAAATCAACTAAATTGTACGTTTCCAAGCTACATCACAAAATAACCATCTCAAACTATTTAACGTAACGTTTCACAACTTTGAAGGTCTACACGCTTTGCATTTTTTCAAAACACAGAAAATTAAGACCATATAGGTGTCTTATTGTGGCATATTGCTGCCAATCAGAAACACATATTTGTTATATGATTATTAGGAGATACTCTAAGATCATGTTATGAACTAATTCAATAACTCGTTATTATGAGAAATCACATTACACCTAGAAAGATGACATTATTACAAAATAATCTGGTTTCACATTATTATGAGAAATAGCCTTTACTATGCTGAAACGTTAGCATAGGCTACTTGGCAAGCTTGGTTACCTCTCATGCACAGGTTGACATTATGTCCGGTTTGCTTGAGTTGATCAACTTTTATTTTTCGCCTAAATTTGAGGCATTGGGAGATATTAGTGTTATTGAGCAATATAGATGGTGTTGTCATTAGTTTACCTACATTGTGTTGAGTTATCAACGGCTCTAAAGCACACGGAAAAAACTATCGGACCTCCTTGACATACATTAGCTAACTATTCCTTCATGATGTGGGGATCTATTTTCTTATAACTAGATGTGATGCCTAGCTTAGAAATAATGCATTAATGATTAAACATAATAGGTTTGTACTGTACTGATATAAATTGTTTCACATAACAAGCTGTGATTCATGTGAGGAACGTTAGGGGGTAGGATGAAATAAGAACTTGTCTCACAGACACAAACACTGCCTCTTTGTTAAACCGCGCTCAAGGACATGTGTACTGCAAAAGTGCTGACTCTCTGGACATGTTGTGATGATAACAACTTATGCCTGGCAACAGTGTGCAACAGTGAAGCGCCAAGGGTCTGGGACCAGCCTGTGCGCCAACGATAGGCTGAGTAAGTCTAAACCACGCTCAGTCTCTACTCTGATTGGCCAGCAGGGAGTGGGAACTATCTCTGTCAGAGTATTTGAAGAAGAACTTAGAACAATGGATCAGTTCTCTGAGTGCCCTGTGTGGTATTTCAGTGGACCCGTATATACGAACATCATATTTACCATTGAAGTGTTTGCATTAATTAAAATACTAGTATATCTTAGAAGTCGTGTTGACCTCTTTTGTTCCCAATACCAGATTTGAATTGACGCAACTTAACAATTGGTGACCACTGACTGTGATCTGGTAGAAGGGACTTCGCTGGGTATTGTCCGGCCCATTGGACATCTCTGTCATTGGACGGTGTGTTTCACAAAGAGTCCGGACTACTAAAAACAGGTAAGCAGACACCTATTGTTATATAACTGAAGTTCTGCACATTGGCTTTATCCAAATTAATTTTGTGAAACACCTGTCTGATGTAAGTGAACTAAATTATGAAATTATTATGAGTAGATAAGCACCATATTGTGACATGCAAACCTGTGGTGAATGTGATGTTAAACCTTGGTACCATAGAGTATTGTTCCACCGGCACGTACCAGAGGGCTAGGTACGGCTAGGATCGGGGAAAAATACTGAAATCCCCAGGCTAGGACCACCAGGGGTGGGAACTGGGGATACAGGGAATTATTGGGTTAAAAGTGTTGCGCTACTGGCAAAGATCGTATCTACGAGAGTACGGCTAGGATCAGAGGGACACTTACAATTTTAGATAGTGTTGCGCTATCGGCAAGGTCCGTAACTAGTACGGCTATGATCGTAGGAGCACTTTAAAGTACACTATAGTGTTGCGCTTCGGCAGGGAGCTGTACTTGGGGGTACCGCCCAGATCGGAGGAGCACTTTAAAGTATAGGGTGTCATATGCATGAGAGTGTGAATGATCCCAGTGTAATAAAATAGTGTTTGCAGACGAAATAAAAGAGGGAATGCGGGTTACTAAAAATAATAAACCTGTATACCTTGATAGAAAACTAATTAGGAATTAAAGACGTCTGTGGCTGTCGAAACTGTATAATTTGTGAATAACTGTTGGGTTTGTGGTTGCTTAAACCGTATAACCCGTTAATAACAATTGGGAACATAAAGGTAAAATAATGAATAACTAGTATGACTAAACTGAAACGTTTGAACTGATATAACTGAACTGTAACGTTTGATGTTTAACATAGCATAATACTGGTTTTAAATAATTATGTTGAGGCAATTTGGTTTAAAATTTGATTTAACGTTTGATGTTTGACCCTGCAAAATACTGGTTAAATAATTAGACTGAAATAATTTGGTTTATCGTTGAAATATAAATATGCACCGACTTTAACTAATTAGTGGGAATAATTTGATTTAAATAAATAGACTAACGTACTTTAAATAACGGCAGAATATTGGAAACGCTAAAACGAAAAGCAGACAAAGCCTGTTCCGACTGGACACAGAAGGGAGAGCCGCGAGGGGAGGGGCTGGAGACAGCGAGAGTGTGGCTTTTGAAGAGTCAGGAAGGACTAGGGGGTGATTTGTGTCAATTAAGAATTGGCTAAAAACACCACGAAGCGATTATTTGAGAGGTACCTATACATTTCTAACGATATATACGTATGAACTTGCTCACCCGAACGTAGACGTACATCATGGGTGAGAAAGTAAAGAATATTTACATTTGCATTTTTGGTCATTTAGCAGACGCTCTTGTCCAGAGCGACTTGCAGGAGCAATTGGGGTTGGGTGCCTTGCTCGAGGGCACATCGGCAGATTTTTCGCCTGGTCGGCTCTGGGATTGGAACCGGCGACCTCTCGGTTGCTGGCACGGTGCTCTTGGTTACTGGGCTACCTGC